AGAATTGGCAGAATTTAAAGCCATGGACCTAGATGCCCAGCTGGACAAACTGGAGAAACTGAGTTCTACTCCTAGCAAGGCCAAGTCAAAGGCGGTGGATGAGGCAATGGAGAGGGTGAAGATCTGGCAATCCACTGAGCTGGAACTAGATGAGAATAGGGAGGATGTTGATCAATTGATGCAAGATCTGGACTTGCTACACAGACAGAATATGGCTCCCAAGCCTATTCTTGAGATGAGCCTCGGTTTGGCCAGAGATGTGCTCAACCTTCACGACCGCTGTGAGGATCTCAAGCCCACCTTCAAAACCTCTGAGTTCTGCAAGGCTACTCATGAAGCCAACTTGGCTGATTATGCAAAACAAAAGGCAAAACTAGATCAGATGGTTGCAGGATACAAGGAGGCCAAGGCCACTGCAGACAAGCTAATGAAGCAGATTGAGGAACTTCAAAAGCAGTTGGCAGAATACAGGGAGGTGCAGAGTAGGCTTGGGGCTGGACTAAGTTCTAAGACCAAGGCTACCTTCCTTGTGCAAAGCATGGTCTCAGCTTCCAGGACAGCTTTGGAAGTTGCAGAGGCTTCAATCCATCACGGGGTGCTGCTTCAGAAGGAACTCTCTATTAAGAAAGCTATTTTACAGGAGACTCTTAAGAAATTAGGGTTTTAATTTCAAATTTAGACTTGTAATAAACAATTTAGCCACGAAAGTGGCTATATTTAAATAAAAAGTTATTTATTTTTGTGAAATTTTTTATTTCTCTTGACAAAAAGGAAGCAGAAGTAATTTTAAAACGTACTTAACAAATTTACAACAAAAATAAATTTTGAACAGAACTTTAATCAACACTTTCATTTTGCTGCCTCTCTATTCCAGGATCTGTTTGCGCAGCCTATGAATCCCACATAGTTGGATAAAATTTCTTCAACCACTTGCCATTGATTGGTGCAGCATGAACATTTCCATCTCGATCTTGTAATTTGTATGCCCCTAGTCCAAGGATTTGCTCAATTATGAAAGGACCTTCCTATGTAGGTGATCACTTACCATAACCAGCTATGTGTGTTCCAAGGGGCAGAACTGCTTTCTAAACTATTTCTCCTTCTTCAGAACTCTTGTTTTTAACTCTTTTGTTGTAGGCCCTTGACACAGCTTGTTTTCCTTATCAACCTAGTTGAAAATATTGACTTTTCAAAGTTTTTTTCCAAGCAATCACGTGGGTTTGCCTCTAATTTTTTGGGCTTTTCTTTTTCATCATGCCAAGCCTAGGTCCAGTTTTTCAGAGCTATAGGCTGATTTTTTTTTATCTTTTCTTTTTTTTCCGAAGCCCAAGTGCATTGTCATGGTTTTGACAGATCCTGGGCCGGGCTTTTTTTGGATTTTGGGCCCTTGACTTCTGTTTTAATCGCAAAAAACCCAGACTGCTTGGGTCCTGTGATTTTGCCTCATCCTTCTGAGCCTCCAGTATTTGGGCTGAGTGTGCATTTTTTCCCCAATTATAAGGGAATGATGGTGGCTGTCCAAAATTGATATGGGCTTTTGATCTCTTGGACTGGGTGTGTCAAATTAGGCCCAAACACTTATATCAATACTTTCCCTTTATTTCACAATTCTTTTCCCGACCTTTTTATCAACTTTCTGATAAATTGATTCTCAACTATACTTAAAATATATATGCCACAATCTGATAAAAACGAAGGGCCATAATTCATCATTTTTAGCTACTGGGTACATTAGCAATCTATAAATAACTATCTATACTCAATCCATAACAGGACCCAGATAACTCATTCTCGGTCAGGACTCGTTTACAACGTCATTTAAACACTTCTCAAAGGATATAACTGCCTCGGAAGACTCACGGTCAACCCAGGGGTCAAACTGCCCAAACTTGGTCAACCAGGTCTGCAAGGCCCACGACTTTCGATCACAGTTCCGGGAGTCCCTATAGGTTCAACGCACTCTTCTGAACCTACCCTACAAGTTCGGTCCAAATTGAACGGTCAGATGGATCACGATCGCACGATCGAATGACTACAATTTATCTTTCCCTGGGTTCACGATTTCAGAATATCTGTGACTCCGATCCACGATCCATCGAATCCTATATGATCCTGAAATTGTCTAGATCAACATATATGAAATTAACTACGATCCAATGGTTCAAACGTATCGAACCCGGAAATCACACAATAGGCGAGATCCGTTCAGGGTTCAAACGTTAACCAAATTGGAATCTGAAAGTACCTAAACGCTCGTGGCAACTAGAGAATAATTTTAGAATAGAAAGTAGCTCTACCATGCTGCCCACGCGCCGCCACATGCGCTGGCAGCACGTGGGTGGCTTGATAAATTTCTGGCGGCTGGAAAAACTCCAAACAGCCAACCAAGCTTCCTACCCTAGGTGTAAAACCTCGTTTGGAGACACTTTTGTTATTTAGCATACCCCGAAAAATGGCCGGAATCGAGCTTGCAAAATCGGCGAAACTTTAGGTTGAAATTTAACCCACATAAGCTAGAAATTTCTCAAATCCTACCCAACCATCAACTAGATCATGAAAAATAGGTGGAAATTCATACCTTATTCGTCCAATTTGGCAGCCGGAGAAGAGAGAAAGAGCCGGCGAAAATCTGTCAAAACGACGACACGAAACCAGGCTGTTTTCGGCAGTTTCCGGCAACGGCTGATGATGGGGATGGTTTGGTTGGGTAGTTGGGGTGACGGCAATCCTTCCCGGGCAGGTCCGGTGGTCGGGGTGAGGTGTGGCGGTGGCTAGAATGAGGGAGACGATCGATAAAATCAGAGGAGGGGGGGTTTTGATATGGCAAATTACCATTTTGCCCCTCAGTGTAATTTAATCGTATTTTCTTCATTATACCTCCGATTCCAGTCCACTACGTATCTATAGACTCGTTTCGACACGATCTACGCAATGGCATAAGCGAATTTCCCAAATTCATTCATGGTCAAAAAGTCAATATTTTCCCCAATAATTTATTCTAGGGGCAAAATTGTCTTTTTCAAAAATTAATTAATAATTAATAAAGGATTGGGTTGTTATTAGGGCTAGCAATGGGTCGTGTCGTGTCGTGTCAGGATAATAAACGTGTCAAGAATTCTCAACCCGAACCCAACCCATTTAATAAACATGTCGTGTCGGGTTCAGATCGTCTTTTATCGTGCGGATTTCGAGTTGTGTAACGGGTCCATAAATAATAACATGCATGTTACAAAACTCACAACTGAAAAAATTTAAATAAAAAAACGGAGAGAGGAGAGAAAATATAAGGAAAAGAAAGAAAAAAAAAGATAGAGAGAGGAGAGAAGAGAGAAGGAAAAGAAAAAAAAAATAGAGATAGAGAGAGAGGAGAGAAGAGAGAAGGAAAGAAATAAAAAAGAGAGGAGAGAAAACTAAAGAGAAGGAAAAGAAAGAAAAAAAAAGGAGAGAAGAGAGAAGGAAAAGAAAGAAAAAAAGACAAGAGAAGATAGATGGAAAACAAAAGAAGAAAAAGAAACATTATAAATATTAAAAGGCATAGTATATAATCACAAAGTTATATGTAGCATGTTGAACTCTACATTTCTCTTCATTTTTTCGTGGGTTGGCGTGTATTAAACGGGTTGACGCGACCCATGACACGACTCGTTTAATAAACGGGTTAGACAGGTATTATAGCGGGTTAGTGGGTTGACCCGAAACCCACCCGTTTATTAAATGGGTCAGAACGGGTTGGTTCGGCAATTTATTAAACCCATCCTAGTTGTTACAGTACCATTGCAAGTAAAACTGGAAACAATTCATTAGATGCCAAAATAATTCAATTTATTGAACCATTGTGTTGAAATATTGAACAACTATTATGGATTATGGTCGAATTTTCCAGATTTCATAGAATTTTTTGTTAAAATGTCCTATGCTAAGGACGAGTCATTTATTTTATTTAAAATTAGAAATTAAATTAAATAAATATTAAAATATTAAAATAAAAGCTCAAAAAGTCCGGGAGGTGAAAAGGAAAAGAAGAAAGGAGAAAAAGGGATATAAAATTACAAAATTGCCCATATTCTTAACGGGTTCACACGACACACCCTTTTAAGTAAGGGTGTTCACGGTTCGATAACCGTGGCTTGGAAGAGTTGCCGATCACCGAACCGGAGTACATCGGCATAGCTATTTTGGAGACTGCCACCGAGCCGAGGAGATGTAAGACCGACTACAATTGGCATGCCGAGAAGTTGGTGCGGTGCGGTTTGGTTCGGCTAGCATCAATGGCAGAGGATTGAACTGAGATTGAGGGCTTAAAGACCACTTTGTGGGGAGGAAGAAGAAGATGCAGCCAGTGGTTGGAGGAAGAAGAAAGAAGAAAAAATGGAGAGAGAACAGAAGAAAACGGTGGTTGAAAGAAGAATAGGAAAAGGAGAGTTCATGGGGGCAGGGAAACCTAACTTTTTTTAAAATGTTTTTTTAATTCTTTAAGATTGTAATAAATATTACAATCATACAGACATTTCACAAGAAAGACGCATCAATCTAGTGGAATTTGGGCCTTGCGTCTGCACTCTCAACAGAGTTCAGCTCCCCATCAGTGCACTTTCTTCGAATTTTTAGACAATTTACAAGGAAGCGGTTTGGTTTGGGTTTCGACGGTTTAAAAAAATTCAAACCGGTTCAAATCGGTTCACTATCGGGTCGGCCAATTCTATCTGCCGATTTTAATAATTTTATTTAAAAAACTAGACCAACCCACCAAAACCGGTCCAGTTTTCGATATATATGACCCCCTACTTTTAAGCCCCTACTGGAATGACTGGAATACTTATTTTTTGTGTGCGAATTCGTGTCTTTTTAAACGAATTTGTGTACAATATTGCCACTGCCAGGTCATGTCGGGTTGGGTGTTAACCCGGCTTCATTGAAATCGCGGTCCGGCCCGGTTCCCCAATGCCCGTGTATGAGGTATGGGTCAAAGTTCAGCATTCGGTTTCATGCATTGTTCACTCTCTCTGCTACCGCTTGCAATATACAGTGAGAAGGACAAAAAAAGCTTTCAAGGCAATGGAGGTACCTGCAGCTCCAGCAACTAATGGGAACGAAAACAAGGGCCTAAAAACCCTAATTTCGCTGTACTCCAGCTGTCTCTGGAACCGAGTAGTGGGCTTCGTCCCCTCTTCTGATTCCAATTTTCTCGGTAAAATTCCAATTTATTTTCGTGGCAGATCACGGAAACGCCGAGCATGTCTTCCCCTACCGCTGCCTTCTAATTCACTGCAATACTCTCCGTACGCTTCTCTCTGTCATTACTCTTTGTTTTGTTGTCAATTTTTAAGCCGTCTTTGGCTGCCAACGAAACTGACGGAGGGGGAATGTTTATATTTTTTTCCTTTTGTTGAAGTTATGAATTTTCTGCTTCTGTTTGCTGCAGAGATAGTGTATCCATGCATATATACAATTGAGAATCGACGGCATGGTTAATACCTTCTTTATGGCCTGTCCCTTGCTTTTTATGATGTTTTATTGGTTGCGAAACGTGGATTCATTTAAGAACAATGAAAATTAGCTCAGTTTTGTGAAATGCACTTTTTGATGTTACATATGAAGTTTACTTGTTATATTGGTTGGCGTTTTGATGCGCGTGGAAAATGTAGGTTTTTGAGTGTTTGTATTATTATATTTATACACATAAAGACATAATCATTTTTCAATGTTTAACAATTTCTGTGGTAGCTCTTATGCTACATATTAACTGTGTGTGAATTGTGCTAGACTGGTGAATAGGACACACTAGGACTATTTGAAGAATCTTTCCGGTTATGCTTGGTTGATTTTATGTGCTAGAACTACCTCTTATGACTGCTTCATTTAACATGGTTGAAAAATTAAAACCCTAAATAATTTCTCGGTGCTTAGCCTAATTAAATTGCTAAGTCAGTCTGAGTTCAGCTATTTAGGCCTATGGATTGTAAATTGCATAAAAAATTGAATTACACTAGGTCACTCAACCGTAGCTAACAGTAAACGGCACAACATTTCAACACCACAAATTTAGACATGCACTGCAGAACATAGCATTTAGGTGGTCCGGTCCATTGCTTATGTCAACCCCAAACCCTTTGGGTTGAATTCGCTAATCCTCTAAGGCAATAACATGGTTTTGGTTTACTTCAAACCTCACAACCTTTTTGGCCATTTTTGTTTTTTCTGAAGGATGAGAGTCTGAGGTTTATGGTAAAGTTTTTTGTTATTATTATTATTTTTTTGCCAATTCTAAGTTAGGTTTTTAACAAATATAGTTTTGCAACATGTCATATTACAAATTGTGGGGCCTTTAGATGCGTGGTCCTGTGCATTTGCACCTAAACCACATGTAATAGCCATCAATTCACATTGGTGTCATCCAAGTTTACGGAGAACTCATTTACTGTTATTATTAATATTTTTTTTTTTCAAATTGGATTGCTGTTGTATGTCCATGCCTGCTGGTGTTGCTTTGGTTACAGTTTGTAGTTCCTTTGGTGTAGGTAGATGATGGTTATGGGTTTTGTTTTGTTTTTCATTTTGAGGGAAATGTTTTCCTTAGTGCCGCACAATGGCTTTTTGTTAATAAAGTCTTGTTTAGCATTAATAAAAATTATAAAAAAAAGTTTGCAGCCGCCTCGCAGTTGGCCCTCGTACTGAAACATGAAGCTTCAGTCAATGTCTGGCAATAATCATCGCCTTATTTATGATTCAAAATTCTTTTGATCATCCATATCATACTTAGTTGCCACACGAGAATTCCATTTTTTATGTGCTATTAGATCTTGTTAGATGAAAACTGTAAAAAGTTTGGTTCTTTAATATGCAGGGTAACAACAGAGGCATCTAGAGTTTGTGATGTTCTACATGATATTTTGGAGCACATCTTCTCCAATCTGCATAATATCCAGAAGAACGTGCAGTTTTGGCAATCTAGGGCTGAGGTGAGAAATTTGTTATATTTTAATGAGCAACACAACTTTAGATTCTACTCTTGGTAGATTACTTGTCCACTTCACTGTACAGCGCTTCTTATGAAATAAAATTTAATCTTTTCATTGAAAAAAAGAGCTAGAAACAATGTTGAATAAGTACTATCTGGAAAGCAAAAGGAAAAAGATAAAAAGTCAAACCAAATGGTTTGATCTTTTGGATGTGTTTCGATGTAGGTTATGATACCTGTCATTATTTTTTATATTTCATGGTGTATGGTATTTTTTTCATTTATCTATTATATTTGTTTATGTGTGTGTTTATGTTGGCTGTGTTTTTGAAGTATCCATACACACAGCTATAGATGTTATATACAAATAATACAAACAGACATTTCTGATTTCAGGGATCAAATGCTCAAAAAGTTAAATTTATGGTGCTTGAAAGAGGGCCACAAGCTTTTATTGAAGGAACAATTCAGCTGATACATGGATGCGTTGCTGAAGGTTCTTCTATAAAGAATATATGCCTCTCTGCATCTGCTCACATATCTGAAAGGATAGCTATATTAACTAACTTAAGATGTTCCCTTGCCACATTTTTGGCCGAGGTTTGCTTTACCTTGTTAATGTATCATTTAATTTGAATATGGTCTCTAAACCCTGTCAGGAAAACTGCAGATTCTTACTTATTGTTTTCTTTTAAACATGTATATGTCGGAATATGATTTATGTCAATGGCCGTTTGTATAGGTTTACATGGAAATTGACAGGTTCGGCGAGGAGTTACTGAGAGATCCAGAGAATTCATTGCCCTCCTTATTAATTAGGATTAATGGCTTATTCTTCAAACTAGAGGCATCTGTTGGGCATCTGCATGCAATGCGGCAGGTAGCTTTTTGAACATCCTAGCTAAAGATTTTGTTGCAGTGGTAGTCTGACTTCTAAAATTATTTTACCATCTGGAATTCCAAAAGAAAGAAAAACAAGAAGGATGAAAAGACTATTGTAATATGTGAATTCAATTACCGTGCAGTGTGATTCGTCTGTCGAGGGCAGCTACTCAGTCCCGCTACTATTTGAGAAACTACCGGAGATAAATCAAGAAGGATCCCAGTGGACAGACTGTGAAATTAGGGATGCTATTAATCTGGTTTACCAAAATCTGGAGAAGCTGGATTCGTACTTGTCTTATATTGTAAGATCTTCTTCCATAATTTTGTTTTATCCAATTAAGTAACATTAGATTTTATTGGATAATAAATTAAAACTTGTACCTTTAACATCCTGAAGAAGTGTACAAGAGAAGATAGGTGACATGACTATCCAGCTTACTGCAGCAAACAAACCTTTCCATTTTGTTTCAATTTTTTCTTTTCCTTCTGGTTCTTTATACTCTTTTTCTTTATTTTTTATTTTTGAGTTAGGTTGCAAAACATCGGAAACCAAGGAAAGTGACTCAATATTGGATCCGTTATACTTGTGGCGTGGTTGGCCTCTCAGTTTGTTCTATGTGGCTTATAGGACATAGTCGTCTGATGGGAAGCCCTGACATTGATAATTGGCTTCGTGAAGCGAGGGATTCAACCATCAGCTTCTTTAGCGATCATGTAGAGCAACCGGTATATTTATCCGACTTGTATCTTGCTTTTTGTTGCTATTGCTCTAAAAAATGTGTTATTTTCTTTGATTGGAAACGAAGGAAGCTATGGTGCCTTGCAACTTGCTTTGCTTTAGAAATTAACCTTGTTAAAAATCTCTTAGATGTTCAAATTTGCTTTGGGCATCTGTTTCTCCTTATTTTAGGAACACTACTGTTTCTGATGTTATTCTAGAGTGGAAAGCTGTAGTGTCATGAATATTTTTAGTTTGATAAACTAGATGTTGCCTGAATTAAATGTTCTCTAATCTATTCATGGTGGATTGCTTGTCCGTTTTACTGTACAGTGTCTCTTTTGAAATAAAATTTCGTCTTTTTGTTTTAAAAAAATAGCTGACATCTCATGATTAAAAGCTGACACTCAATTTTCACCGCAAACTTTGTGCATATTTATAGAACAGCTGAATATGTTAATGACCGAGTTATATTTTGACTCAATTTCCCCAGCTTCTGTCAATTAGAGATGAACTTTTTGAGACATTTAGGAAAAGGCACAGAGGAATGATGGATCTTGAAGAAGTGCAACTAACTTCTAACTCTCTACACAGGTTAATGTTCTTATCTCCCACTTCAATTCAAACTTATGTTTACGTGAACCTTGGATGGTAAATGTTATTCATGCAATTCATCTTTCTAAAATCACAAAAGTTGTCAGCATGAAGCTTGTGACTTATCAAGTTTTATATCAGTGGTTGGCAGTTTTCTCATTTTTTAGTGGAAGAAGTGGACGTTCAATTCATAACCTGAAATCTTTAGCCCAGATAAAAATGTAATCACTGTTGGGGTTGTGTATATTGAATAATGTGCATATTCAATATCCCAAATTTCTTTTTTTTCCCTTGGAGTTGGATCACTTTTCTTTTTCTGTTTTATGATAAGAAACATTAATCTTTATTGACAATAAAACACTACAACAAAAGTGAACAAGGAGTCCACTTCTAAAAGAAAACTAAGCATACTGACACTTCAATCCTAGGGGAAAACCCCAAAACAAAGACAGAATTCCAAAGACTACAAAACATATGCTAAATTATGCCTTCCAATCTGAAAAAATGACAGAAAAAGATAACTCCCTAACTCTGAAGCTACAGATGCCCAAAAAGACGCCAAAAAACACTTCGGATCCCATAAGCACATCTCCCTAGAACTACACCTCCTTTTCTTTCCACCAAAAAAACTTCAAGCACAATAGTGCATTACACGATCCCGGAATGGACCAGCTTAAACCTGTCTTCTCACACAAGAAGCCACTGGAATGCACCAGCAAGGAAGTGTTTTCTTTTCTGAAGATATGTACTGGGTTTGCTGTTATCCTTTTTATTTTATTTTTATATCAATTGTTTTCATAAAAGGTAGAAGGGAATAATACTATATCCTACAATATACAAACAAAACTTTTGCCTTTGGAAATCACTAGTTTTGTGTCTCATTGATTTATCATTTATCATGTAGAACATTTAAAATTGGTTTGTTTATCCTCTGACAGAAAAACGGATTTTGGTTTTCTATTGATGTTTTGCTCAAAGGTGTCATTTCCTTATATTTTAAATCTTACATTTCTATCTGCTTGATTTGCAGAATGTTGTTAGCTTTCAGTGAGCAGACGAAAGGTCAAAAGTTCCCAGAGAATGCACCGGATCAGGAAATGCTTGAAATAGTTATGGCCAGGTGGGTATTTCTATTCTGTTTGAATGTAGTTGCTTCTAGCAATATTTGGCGTCTGAGCCTCTCATTTGTTTTTTCTGCTATAAAATTTGGAATAATTTGATTACTTATGATTGAACCGTAGGATGCTATGGCCACCTTTATTGTTTGTTTGTTGAAGTTCATATGAATAGATCAATTATGTGGATTGGATGCTGTATTCAACTAAAAAGTCCACTTTAATTATACATAGTAATATAATCTAATCTACGAATTTGGTTGTCTTATTTTCAATCGTATTTGAGTTTGCGAAATTCCAGCTAAGCCTAAACCACTACTCTGCCTGGTGTGGAAAAGAATAGTGCAGAAACTCATTTATTATTTTGATTACAATCCATATGTTTCACCATTTGTATAATGTATAGTAGAGCTTTTCAGTCACTGGTAAGTTTTTTCTTTGGACATCTTATCCTTATTTAATTGCACAACATTCAAGTTTCCTTAAAAAAATAAAAATAAAAATAAAATAAATAAATAAATAAGGAAAAAAGGAAAAAAGGAAAAAAAAAAAAAAAAAAAAATACATTCATGAAATTGAACCTTTGATTCTTGTGGGTGTATGCTTCTTGCAATGGATTTTCGATTTTTCTTGCCTGAAGAGAACTTGGAAGTGCTAGAGGTGGGAGCTGAATGTGCTTAGTGGCTTGGAGGAGGGAAATGTGCAGGGGGAGTGAGAAAGAAGGGGGAGATAAGAAAGAGAAAGAAGAGACAGAAGTAGAAGGCCATAGTCTAATGACATCTAAAAAAGTGAGCATGTGCCCCACGTGCTCCATTTTTACTGTAAATTGAGCATATTTGACAGCAGGAACCATTTAAACACATGAAATGAAGTTTAGAGGGCAAAGTGGGTCAAATTGATATTAAGGGACCAAAGTGGGATGCAGGCGAAGGTCCACAGGGGCATTGCTAAGGATTTTCCCTTTATAGAATATGTCAACGGAAATGATGGTAAAATTTTCAAAAACAACGGAATTGATATAATAACAAAGAACTTCGTACGAGACAATAGGAACTGCTAACCTACGTAATAATGAAGAATTTGGAGCCACAAGGAGATCGTGACAAGGGGAGATACATTTCTATGCACTTCGGTAGTTGATGTTTTGTGTTGGTTGGTTGAAAGAGCAAAGGAGGGCTGACAATAGGAATGCTAAGAGTATAAATTTCTCCTTTGCAAATTTGCAGATAACACAATCTCTTTTCTCTGGTGTCGAGGGTGATGGAAGTGTTTATTGCTATATCTGGTTTGAAGATTAATAGAGCCAAGTGCTCAATTGCAGGGATACACATTGAAGAAGGGGAGGTTGAAGAGCTGGCATTGGCATTGGGATGTGAGGTGGGAAGGTGGCCTGTAAAGCATTTGGGGTTGCCCATTGGAGGGAATTCAAGAGAAGTAAATTTTTGGAGCACTGTAGTGGAAAAAGTGGAGAGAAGACTAGAGATTGGAGGGTTTCAATGGGGGAGGTTGACATTAATCCAATCAGTGTTGATCAGTTTTGCAATCTATTATCTATCCGTTGTTAAGATTCCTTGTAGTCTGGCAAAGAGATTGGAGGGTTTAATGAGCAATTTTTAGTGGGAAGGGGTGGTGGAAGGAAATAAGAAACTTGGTAAGATTGGATCTGGTGACACAATTTAAAGAAAAATAATAATTAGTGGTGGGAATTTTGGTAAAGAGAATGAAGCTTTGCTTGAGAAGTGGTTTTGAGATGCCAGACAGAGACAAATTTCCTTTGGTAAACTATAATTAGGAATAAGTATTGAATGCATGAAATTGGATGTGATCCCAAGATTGTGGCTAGAGGCTCAAGTGGATGCCCATGGACATCATCTCTAAAAGGCTGATTGCTGTCATTTGTTGTCAGTTTAATTTGTCACTAAAAAGCATTAAATTTTCATGTCAACATGTGATTTTTATTTAAAATAGAATTGATTAAAGTTTCTGTTAAGGAATACTGTTGTTTACTCGACTTATTTTTTGAAGAAAAGAAAACTGTTAAACACACATGACAAGTACTGAAGTCTTGTTCTGATTTCCTATGTTTATATTTCATTAGCAAATTCCATATCTTCAGAAGAAAATAATTGAGTTTGTTCAGTTTCTGAATGTATAGGTACGAAAAGGAACTTACACATCCTATCACAAACCTTCTTAACGGAGAGCTGGCTCGTGCTATGCTGATTCAGGTAGTTTCTCTATTACCTATAAGTAAAGTTACCACTGTTTATATTATTTCTCATGTTACAAATGCCTGGTGCCACACAGGTTCAGAAGCTAAAGCTGGATATTGAAACGTGAGTTTCTGATCATGCTGTCTCTGGTCAATAAGCGAGTTTTTCAGATACTCTATCGTATTTCATATTTCAGATACTAAAGATGATCTTATGAACAGGGCGATGCTTGAACTCAACCAGATTTTGAGGGCAAATGAGATCAATTTTGCTATTCTAGCTGCGTTACCGGCATTCTTCCTCTCCCTCGTTCTGATAATGTTAGTGCGTGCATGGTTCAAACAGGTAGGAGAGCTCTCTAAAGCCTTTTTTATTTATTTATTTATTTATTTATAAATTTTAAATTTATAAAATTATAAAAAATAAAAAAATAAAAAATAAAAACTATTGAAGGCAGCATCAGAACATAGCCTAACTGAAAAGCTTTCTAAAACACCTATAATTCACTTTTCTTCACAAAACTTCATTTTTGTCTCTGACATGCCTAATTCGGATGTTAAATTGTAATTTAGAAGTTTTAACTATTTAATTACAGGTGCATTCTTCATAGCATGTGCCAGATGGACTTTATGAAATAATATGAAAGCTAAAATCATCTGAAAATATTTAATTTTGTAATCCTGCGTAATGCATTTCAAATTATAATTATAACAAACGTATTCTTCTTCTCCCATTTGTATTAGTTGCTTAGTCTCATTTCTACTTTTGTAAATCAGGATACTAGAGCAGAAGGAAGGGGAAGAATTGCTCGGCTTCAGAGGAGGTTGCTTGTTGTGGAGGTTGAGAAAAAGATTATGCAGTATCGTACGTTTGTTGATCAAGGGATGGTGAGAGTTCAATTCTAAGCATCTCTTTTCTATTTTTCCTTGATGAAGAAAATTTTAATAGAAGAGCACCCAATATAGAACTTTAACCAAATATAGAACTTTACACAAATAAAATATAGAAAGGGGCAACATTTTTGTAGCATACAGTTCTCAAATGGAATTCATTTGTAACAGAGGAATTAGTTTCAACTGTTGTTTTTACTCATGCAATTCGGGATTATATGCATTAAGAAGAATTGCAAGGGTATACAGTATTGGCTGTCTTAAATTTTTTTTGTTTGAACTTATGCATGATATTGCATATTGAAGAAAATAAATAAGTAGTTTCCATAAGATTCATGAACTCATAGAGAGTCATAAGGTGTAGATCTAACTGTCAACAAATCAAATAAGGAATAACAAAGTTACAAATATATATATATATATATAAAGTATGGAAAACTGTTAGGAAAAAGAAAAATAATGAGCCCAGATATATTCTGCATTATTTTTGTTTTGTTTGTTCTTTTGGTCTGACAGTTATATTCTGCTTAACCAAGGAAACATTCTTTTCCTCAAAGAGAAATTAGGAACATTCCAACAGCCGCATCAAAGCAAAACCAATTCGAGCGTTGGCGGCAACTTTCGTAGTACAAGTTAACATTATTCCTTCACCGCACTTTGTTATAGAAGGCAGGGGGTGGTGTCATTCCTTCACCACATTGACACCAAGCTAGTAACCTTATCTTTCATACTCTGCTTTAATCATATTCAACAACAATGGCTGAAGCTCTGGTTTCCGTATTGCTAGAACAGTTGGCTTCCATCACCCGGCAGCAGATAGAGGAAGAGGTGAGGCTGGTCGTAAAATAAGTCCCCAGAAAACCAGCATAGAAGAGATAGTTATCACCAAACCTATCCTGATAGTGATTGCCGCCAGAAAATCTTTAGTGAATGGAAAGATTACATGCGGTCAGCCAAAGTTGAAATTTTCTACCTTGATTTTATTGAAAGCCGTTATATGACTAGCGAGTTAAAAACTTCCCAGTTAGCCATTTGGCAAGATAACGTTGCTTAAAAAAAGGTGGTGACTCTCCTTATTTATTTGGAAACTGATATATTTACCTTATCAGTGTTTATAAGCTCTTTTCTTCTTCTGTTTTTCTCTTTCTTTTTGTATTATATATATATATATATATATATATATATTTGTTTGTTTTTGGATTGATGGTAAAATAATGTAATAATTTTAAATGAAAATCAATCTGGTACCTCATACACATACTTATTTTCTGGAAAAGTTTCACATTGACGTGTGACACACTTAGCTACAGCCTGAGTCACCTTTGTCATATTTTTGAGTGGTATAAGTGACACACACTCGGTGGTGCAATAAACTAGTGTCATGTTTTGGACCACTCAGAAATGCAAACCATCTTGTCATGGCTAACTGTGGAGGACTATTATTCCTAATAGCTGCCTCCCTCAACCTTGGTCAATACTTACT